GGCAACTCCAACAGAAATAGGCATAGGAGGTCTAGGTCGGACCCAGAAGGAGGGCCCACCAAGCCCTCTAACCAACAACTAAAAGGTGTTATTTTGAAAACATGCTCGAGGACTGCGTCCCAGCCTCCATTATAAACCCACCGTTTGAGTCCCGGCTCTCCCATTTCCTCCTGGCCTGGTCCAAAATTACCTCGGATCGTTGGGTTCTTGGCCTGGTAGAAAAGGGATATGCTATGCCCTTCGCGGTATGGAATGGCTTCCTTATGAGGAGAGATTAATAAGACTGGGTCTTTTCAGCTTGGTAAGGAGACAACTAAAGCCATATCTTCAGTAAAAGAGAAGGTTGGCTTAAGATACACAACTCTAGCTACATAAAATACAGATAAATATATTCATCTGATGAAATTGGTTTTGCCCATGAAAGCTCATGATTCTATATATTTTGTTTAGTCTCTAAAGTGCCACAGGCCTACCTGTTTTTAACATAGCTGGAGAAGATGTATCTTAAACCAAATTTCTCAAGTGTCCTCACAGCGGGAGGTTGACTGAAAAAAACTCTCCTGTTGACTTCCCTTACTCCTCGCAAATGTGAGATGTACCAGAGTTGATGGGGGCACCCTCAGTATTTGATTTCACGGGTCCTTATTAGACCTACTAAGTCAAACGCTGAAAGATTGACCTCTGTAGCATTGATTCTCCAGTAAGTGTAGACATGGTCTAGGGGAGATATGACTGAGGTCTATAAAATCATGACACTTAGAGAAAGTAGATATGGATGTGCAATTTACTTCTCCTCACATAAGAACTAGGGGTCACCAAATTACATTAGTAGGCAGCAGGTTTGAAACAAACATATTTCTTCATACAGCATATTCGTCAACCAGTGAAACTCTTTGAAAAAGGGTGTTACCACTATAACAGGGTTCAAATAACAAGGTAAATTCGTGGAAGATACGTTCATCAGTGGCTGTGAGCGAGGATGGGCAGGGTTGACCTTTGTTTCTAGAAGCTAGGAATGGTCCTTAAAAAGCACATCTGGATAAAGTTTTTAAAAGTTCCAATGACGTGATTAGCATGACTGTGCATCAGATAGAAAAATTGATGGGCAGTTCTGCTAGCAGATTGGGAAGCAGGGAGGACTTTTTTTTTTTTAATACAGTGTTTTTATATTGTAAGAATGTCCATACTGGGTTAGCCCAAAGGTCTTTCTACCCCAATATTCTGTCTTCTGACAATGGCCAATGCCAGGTGCTCCCAGCTTCCTGGTTTTTTTTTCTTCAGAGAATGGCTCACTTGATAACTACCTGTTCTGTTCATTCCCTCTGGGGCACCTGTCATTGGCCACTATTGGAAGATGGGGCTAGATGCACCTTTGGTCTGATCTAGTATGGCCATTCTTATGTTAAATGAGACCATGTAATATGATGAGTTAAGAGTAAATTGCTTAGAAAAAGGGCTACTTATAGCCCAAAACTGGGGGTCCGTCCACTATAAGGCACACCAAACCAGTTACAAAGAGCGCTTCTGTTTGCCACACTGTCCAGTTAGAAGTCACACAAGCAATCCCCTCAGACAATCCAGTTTTTCCTATGCCAAAACCAGTACCATACCAGTACCTTGGATGACAGGTTATGAAAATCAGTCTCACCAAATCTGAACCGGTTCTTCCAATCCCAGAGGACCATCCTTGTTCCTAGGTCAACTTATCCAAAAGAGCACACTGTGCCAATTGTTGATAATCTAAAATTTGAAGTTTTTATCAGTAAATAAAGTTGAGAGTAAAATTGTTAAAGGGAACAAATCACATACACCAGTGACCAAGATCCTGATGCAGGCTCATAGCAGAGTTGAAATAAACTGCTATTTTAAAAGTATCTGGAATACATCGTTTGCTAGAATGGGTCATCAGTCCTTTTGGGCCCAATTAATAGTAAAGGTGTTTTTGAAATTATGTGGAATAAAGACAAAGAGGAGGAACCCGGAGGGCCCTCTTTATAATCTTGCCCATGTGGATGGAATTCCATTGTTCCCCTTGTGTGAAAGTGCTTTCTAAAGATGGAGTTTGTCATATGGGCAAGTCACCTGTCCATGTCCTTTTTAGGCAAGCTGCCATTACCTCCCAGTCTAAATGTTCACAGAAAATTCCTCTGATGCAGATTGTACTGCTATTCACCTGACTATCTACCCTCCCACAAATAGGTGGGTGAGGCCTATTGATCTTCCAGAAGCAAACATTTGAAATACAAGTACATAGCCTAACATAAGAACAGCCATACTGGGTCAGACAAAAGGTCCATCTAGCCCAGTATCCTGTCTGCCGACAGTGGCCAGCACCAGGTGCCCCAGAGAGGGTGGACCTAAGACAATGATCAAGCGATATGTCTCCTGCTATCCCTCTCCAGCCTCTGACAAACAGAGGCCAAGGACACCATTTTATCCCCTGGCTAATAGCCTTTTATGGACCTAACCTCCATGAAATTATCTAGCTTCTCTTTAAACTCTATTATAGTCCTAGCCTTCACAACCTCCTCTGGCAAGGAGTTCCACAGGTTGACTACACGCTGTGTGAAGAACTTTCTTTTATTAGTTTTAAACCTGCTACCCATGAATTTCATTTGGTGTCCTCTAGTTCTTCTATTATGGGAACTAATAAATAACTTTTCTTTATCAGCCCTCTCCACACCACTCATGATTTTATAGACCTCTATCATATCCCCCCTCAGTCTCCTCTTTTCTAAACTGAAAAGTCCCAGTCGCTTTAACCTCTCCTCATATGGGACCCGTTCCAAACCCCTAATCATTTTAGTTGCCCTTTTCTGAACCCTTTCCAAGGCCAAAATATCTTTTTTGAGGTGAGGAGACCACGTCTATACACAGTATTCAAGATGTGGGCGTACCATAGTTTTATACAGGGGCAGTAAGATATTCTGGGTCTTATTTTCTATCCCTTTCCTAATAATTCCTAGCATCCTATTTGCCTTTTTGACCACCGCTGCACTCTGCGTGGAAGTTTTCAGAGAACTGTCCACGATAACTCCAAGATCTCTTTCCTGATTTGTCGTAGCCAAATTAGCCCCCATCATACTGTACGTATAGTTGGGGTTATTTTTCCCGATGTGCATTACTTTACACTTATGCACATTAAATTTCATTTGCCATTTTGTTGCCCAATCACTCAGTTTGGTGAGATCTTCTTGGAGTCTCTCACAGTTTGCTTCTGTCTTGACTATCCTAAACAGTTTTGTATCATCCGCAAAGTTTACTACCTCACTGCTTACCCCTTCCTCCAGATTATTTATGAATAAGTTGAAAAGGATTGGTCCCAGGACTGACCCTTGGGGTACACCACTAGTTACCCCTCTCCAATCTGAAAATTTACCATTTATTCCTACCCTTTGTTTCCTGTCTTTTAACCAGTTCGCAATCCAAGAAAGGACCTTCCCTCTTATCCCATGGCCATGTAATTTACATAAGAGCCTTTGGTGAGGGACCTTGTCAAAGGCTTTCTGAAAATCCAAGTATACTATATCTACTGGATCCCCCTTGTCTGCATGTTTGTTAACCCCATTCAAAGAACTCTAATAGATTAATAAGACATGATTTCCCTTGACAGAAAACATGTTGACTTTTGTCCAACAAATTATGTTCTTCTACATGTTTCACAATTTTATTCTTCACTATTGTTTTGACTAATTAGCCCGGTACTGAAGTTAGACTTACCGGTCTGTAATTGCCAGGATTGCCTCTAGAGCCCTTTTTAAATATTGCCGTCATGTTGGCTACCTTCCAGTCATTAGGTACAGAAGCCGATTTAAAGGATAGGTTACAAACCTCAGATAATAGCTCAGCCTATACTCATAAATGTAAATACAAAAATCATACAAGTACATGAGTAGTATAAAAAATCAGGAAAGCATAACCTTTTAATAGACATGTCACTTAACACACTTTATACAAAATTTGGAGCAAACACCACATTGGGTGCATGTTCATATTGAAAATTGAATGTCACAGACCACAAGCGTCATTTAGTTAAAGTTTTAAATATAGAATGTATCTTTAAAAATAGTTAAATGTAACCTGGGACTGCAGATAAGTTATGCAGTAATTGTATAACTCTATGGATATCTTAACTGTGTATTTCTGTGCCTTTCCAGGTTCAGATATTTAGAGTGAACCTTTAACTTTGAATTTCCTAGATTTCTAATGCTTGTTTTATGAATAATTACAGCATCTTTGTAAAGTCTTTTACTCTAATTTACTACTATATAATCTTAATTTTAATATAATTTCTTCTAGGAATTAACATTAAGTTGAAATGGACTTTCTAATGGACATGATTAGTTTTCTATCAGAGTTAATTAACATGTGTTGCAGAGAGTATATGTCATGAATTTATGTGGTGAATTGTTGAAGTACAGTGCTCCCGACTTTTGCTATATATTTAAGAGGGTTTGTGTGTGTTTGCGTGTGTGGGTACGTCTAGATTACATGGCTCTGTCGACGGAACCATATAAAGTAGTTTACTCGGCATAGTCAAAGAAGCTGTAATTTAAATAATCCCAGCGCCATTAAAATAAAAATGGCCACCGCGCTGTGCCGACGATCAGCTGACCCTCTGCCCTGACCCTTTGACGATCAGTCTGTATCCTCCTTAACCCTCTGCCCTGAATCCTGCTTCCCCCATACCCGACAGTGACTTCTGCACCTACCATGCCTTGCTCTGAGTTCCCTTCTTCCCCCATGCCTCCCAACACCCTATCGTGATTCCTGAGCCCCCAGAAGGACCTGAGCAGCACTAGGTTAATCCTCTAGTCATAAATATTAGAAATAGGTTGGTGTTATACTGGTTTTTTGGAGGTCTCTAGTAGATTCTTATTTAAGATACTGTATAAAAATGGTTCTCAGGGACCTAGGATGCTGGGGGTAATTTGCTTGGAAGAGAAGTAGCTACAGTGATATAATCTCACGTGTGTGTATGTGTGTTTATCACTCTCCAGTGAACCTCGGATAGTAAGCCGGATTTTTCAATGTTGTGCATGGAATGGAGGCGTATTCTGGGTAAGTGGTTTATTTTCCCTAACTTAAAAATTAAACCATGCCACTGCTTCAATGCTTTTATGATTTCATAGATGCTGTGTCAGATTGCTTGTCCTTCTAAGTTGGAAGTCACTATGAATTGAGAGAAACCAGAAGGTTTCCTAAGTTTTGCAATTTTATGTTACGGGGACCCACCTTAAAATAGATAATAGAACTATTGCATTGCCTGAGCAAATCACTATATTAATCTGGAATCTGTTTCTCAAGTTCCTAATCTGCTTGTTTGCTGATTAGATGACGTCTGCAGTGCTGCTCCACTGAATCAAATATTACATTTATAGAATCAAAGGGTTGGAAGAGACCTCAAGAGGTCATTGAGTCCAAGCCCCTGCTAAAAGCAGGACCAATCTCATCTTAATCATCCCAGCCAGGGCTTTGTCAAGATGGAATTTAAAAACCTCTAGGGATGGAGATTCCACCTTTTCCCTTGGTAACTCATTCTAGTGCTCCACCATCCTCTTAATGAAAGTTTTTTCTAATATCCATCCTGAACCTCTCCCACTACAACATGAGACCATTGCTCCTCATTCTGAGAACAGCCTCCCTCTATCCTCTTTGGAACCCTTCCCTTAAGATAGTTGAAAGGTGCTATAAAATTCTCCTCACTCTTCTGTAGACTAAATGGCTGTGTCTAGACTACATGCCTCTGTCGGCAGAGGCATGTAGATTAGACAGATCAGCAAAGGCAAATGAAGCTGCGATTTAAATGATCGCGGCTTCATTTACATTTACATGGCTGCCGCGCTGAGCCGACAAACAGCTGATCAGCTGTTTGTCGGCTCGCGTGCTAGTCTGGACGTTCCCCCTGTCGACATCAAAGCCCTTTGTCGGCAGCCCCGTTATTCCTCGTGAATGAGGTTTACCGAGGCTGCCGACAAAGGGCTTTGATGTCGACAGGGGGAACATCCAGACTAGCGCGCGAGCCGACAAACAGCTGATCAGCTGTTTGTCGGCTCAGCGCGGCAGCCATGTAAATGTAAATGAAGCCGCGATCATTTAAATCGCAGCTTCATTTGCCTTTGCTGAACAAACAAATCTATATGCCTCTGCTGACAGAGGCATGTAGTTTAGACGTACCCAATAAGCCCAAATCCCTCAGCCTCTTTTCATAAATCGTGCGCTCCAGCCCCCTAATCATTTTTGTTGCCCTCTGCTGGACTTTCTACAGTGCATCCACATCCTTTCTGTAATGGGGGGCAGAATTGGATACTTTACTCCAGATGTGGCCTCACCAGAGCTGAATACTGGGGAATAATCATTTCCCTTGATCTGCTGGCAGTGCTCCTACTAATGCATCCCAATATGCCATTAGCCTTCTTGGTTACAAGGGCATACTGTTGACTCATATCCAACTTCTCATCCACTTTAATCCCCAGGTCTATTTTTTACTATCTACTGCTTTGCTGGTTGTTTCCTAGCCTGTAGCAGTGCTTGGGAATCATCTGTCCTTACTGCAGGACTCTGCGCTTGACCTTGTTTAACTTCATCAGATTTCTTTTGGCCCAATCCTCCAATTTGTTTAGGTCAGTCTAGATCCTATCCCTACCCTCCAGCATATCTACCTCTCTCCATAGCTTAGTATCATCTGTGAACTTGATGAGGATGCAATCTATCCCCTCCTTCAGGTCATTAATAAAGATGTTGAACAAATCTTGCCCTAGAACTGATTCTTGGGATACTGTGCTTGATACCGATCGCCAACCAGACATCAAGCCATTGATCAATACCCATTAAACCTGACCATCTAGCCCAAGGCTACTTAACATGTGGACCGTGGCCTGTTTGTTTGTGGCCCATAGTGCGGTTTGGGTTTATGCGGCGCCAAAACAAAAAAGTAGTCAATATTCAGTAGTCTTCTATTGATAAGTGTTTTAGAAGTTAAATCCCTAGACTGTCATTGCTCATTAAAAGTGCTGTCATTATGGGTGGAAATCAGGTAAATATTGCATTTTATTAATATCAGCAGAACTTACTTAAACGGGGCATGCGTTGTGTAGTCTTGTCTTTGTATTCATTTCCATCAGTGTGAAAGAAGCTATTTGCATATATTTGTATATGCAACCACACTTAAGTTGTGGCCCTTGGCATGTGCTGTGAGTATCATTGTGGCCCCCAGGGCTTCCAAAGTTGAGAAGCCTTGATCTAGCTTGTTTTCTATCTATCGTATAGTCCATTCATCCAAACCATGCATCTTTAACTCTTTGGCAAGTATACTGTGGGAGACGGTATCAAAAGCTTTGCTAAAGTCAAGGTATATTACGTTCACTGCCTTCCCCATATCCCCAAAACCACTTACCTCGTCATAAAAGGCAGTCGGTTGGTCAGTAATGATTTGCCCTTGGTGAATTCATGTTGACTATTCCTCATCACTTTCCTATCCTTCAAGTGATTCAAAATGGATTCCTTGAAGATCTCTTCCATGATTTTTCTGGGGACTAAGACAAGGCTGACTGATCTGTAGTTCCCTGGATTCTCCTTCTTCCCTTTTTTAAAGATGAGCACTACAATTCATGTCACCTTTCCTAATACTGTAGTTGTTAATATGTTTAGTAGGGTTTATTCATGATTGTAATGAGTGCTTTGAAGTCTAATAATCACTTGTTTCTCTTCATTGTCCATTAGACTTTGTCATGGTGGGTGACAAATCAACATGGAAATGTTGAAAGGAAGCAGTTCAGTTATATAATCTGGCTGTATTTAAGTAGAGAAGCTATTTTTCAGTGCTCTGCATTGATGGATCATGTTGTTTAATGTTTAACATATGGCTAGCAAGCATTTTGCTATTAAATAGAGAATGTACAATGCCTGCATGAAATACACCTTTAAGTCACCTTTTTATGGATCTTTGTTGCTGTTGATGAGTCCTATCTGAAGTTGAGGTGTTTAGGTGACACATATGCAACAGCCTCTCCGTTTGCCAAAGCCATTCAGCGTAACAATGGCAGGGCAGTCAGACAAAATTATCCTTTTAGTAGGAGTCTTGCAGTAGGTGTATGTATTGAGGCAATTGATTGTCTCATATTTAATCTCTGTAAAGTGCCTGAATATTGAGCTGATAGATAGGGATAAGAGTAATAGAAATGAACATGTAAATGTCATTAACTAAAACCCTTTTATGGTATCCTTATTGACTTTTTCCTTTTCCTTTAGCTAAGTCTCCTCTTGTTTTACCGAGTATTTATGCCTGTACTTCAGTCAGTCACAGCACAGATAATTGGTAAGTACATAATTTGTTTCTCTTGAGTGCTAGGACATCAGATCTCTTCAGCCAATAATTATCTGCAGGGCCCTACTAAATCCATGGTTCATTCTGGTCAGTCTGGCCTGAGAGTTTTGAAATTGGTCAATTTCATAATTTCAGATATAAACACCTGAAATTTCATGGTTTTGTGTGATCATGGGAGTCCCGACCCAAAATGCGGTTGTTAGGGGATTGCACAATTGTTCTAAGGCAGGGTTTCCCAACCTGTGGGTCGCCATTACATTTCAAAGAGTTGCCAGGTGTCTCCCCAGGTGGCTCTTAAGGAGCCATTCATACATTTTTTGAATTGCCCTTGGTCACCAAGTCTTCCTGAATTGTCAAAATGGGTCCCCATATGGGAAAGATTGGGAACCGCGGTTCTCAGCGAATCACAATATGGCCCCCCTCACAGCTTCCTGTAGTTAGTTGGTTTCTGGAGGTGGAGGTAGGTGTAGGGACTGCCCTGAACTCCAGCTAGAGTAGCGGGAAGGAGAGTGGAAGCCCCAAGCCCTGGCTGGAGAAGAGTGGGAGATGGAAACCCTGAGCCTGGGCTGCCCCAAACTTTGGCTGGAACAGCAGGTGAGGGGGGAGGTAGAAGCCCTGAGCCCATGCTTAAGTGGAAAGGAGCAGAAGCCCTGAGCCTGGGCTGCCTCGAGTCCCAGCTGGAGCAAGAAGGGGCAAAAACCCAGAGTCTGGGCTGCTGAGTCCTGGCTGTAAGTGGCAGTGGTGGAGAAGCCCCAAGCCTAGGCTGCCCCAAGTTCAACTAGTACTGCAGAGGGCTGAAGCCCAGATTCCAGGCTGCCCCTGCTGCTGCAGCAGCTGGAATCCGCTGTGGGAAGAATCCACAAGCTCAGTGCCCGGAGCTGCAGCAGGAGTTGCTGTGGGGAAAAAGGAAGGAATGGCAGCCTGGAGCCTGACTCCCAGAAGGGTGTGCCATCCTAATTTCTGTGCTACCTCATGAGGTGGGTCTGATTTTTTTTTTTCCCTCCAGTCATGGTCATGCAAGGGAGGAACAACTGCACAGCTGGACTAACAGCTAGGAGCCCCACTCCCAGCAGTAGGGGAGAACAGATTTCATGGATGAGGGCTGATTTCACAGTCTGTGACATGTATCAGCATCTTTGTAGCAGACTAAGGAGACTGCTCCCACATCCCGCCTCTCCATCCTTGAGTTTTTGCCCTCAATTAAATGCCTGAAGATACTGAGCATGTGCAGGTCCCATTGAATTGAGTGAGGGATGTGAGAGCTCAGTACAGACCGAAATCTGAGTTGAATTGAAAGGGATTTGGATGCTCATGTCCCCATCAAATTAATGGGAATTGGACATCCATATTACTTAGCATCCATATTACTTAAGATGCTTTGAAAATCTCAGCCAGATTTTCTTTCTTTTTTTTCTATTATGAAAACTGATACATCAGCCTATAAAAGCACACCTGGACAAAGTTTAAACAATGTTCCAATGACTTCCTTAGCACAACTGTGTATCAGAAAGATTGATCGACAGTTTAGCTAGCACATGGAGAAGTGGAGAAGACATTTTTTAACCCTATGTTTTAGAAACTAGGTACATAAGAACAACGAGAAGTCCTGTGGCACCTTATAGACTAACAGATTTATTGGAGCATAAGCTTTCGTGGGCAAAGACCCACTTCGTCAGATGCATCTGCTCCAATAAGCTTATGCTCCAATAAATCCGTTAGTCTTTAAGGGCACGTCTAGACTACATGGCTCCGTCAACGGAGCCATGTAGATTTGTTTACTCGGCAAAGGGAAATGAAACGGTGATTTAAATAATCGCCGTGTCATTTAAATTAAAATGGCTGCCGCGTTGTGCTGACCAGCTGTTTGGCAGCACAGCACTGTAGTCTGGATGCTCTGCGGTCGGCATCAAAGGCATTTGTCGACCTCCCCGGTAAACCTCATCCCACGAGGCATAACGGGGAGGTCGACAAATGCCTTTGATGCTGACCGCAGAGCGTTCAGACTACAGTGCTGTGCCGCCAAACAGCTGGTCAGCACAACGCGGCAGCCATTTTAATTTAAATGACACGGCGATTATTTAAATCGTGCCCCAAGGAGCCACAGGACTTCTCTTTGTTCTTGCAGATTCAGACTAACACGGCTACCCCTCTGATACTAGTTACATAAGAACATCCATATTGGGTCAGACCAAAGGTTCATCTAGCTCTCAGTATCCTGTCTTCTGACAGTGGCCAGTGCCGGGTGCCTCAGAAGGAATGAACAGAACGGTTAATCAAGTGATCCATTTCCAACTTCCCAGTTATTTTTTATCCATATAGAAATCTTGCTTCTGTTTGTAATTACTCTTCATTTAAATACTCTTCACAGTGAAGCTCATCAGAAACTGTACACCTTTCTCTTTATTAGGGATCTAGCTTCATAGCATTTGCAGTATGTAACATAGAAAGTTATCATTAGATATGGGATGCGTTGTTTAATTGGCGTGTTCTCTTACCCAGACAGTGAAGTCTAAAGTTGTTGACACTTCTTACCTCAGACAGTTCATTTTATATTTTGGAAGAGACCTTATTTAAATACACAGTGCTTCTATGTTAAGAGGCCTGGACTGGAAATGCTAAGTGTTACTATTTACATTAACAGGAACAGTCTCTACTCATTTTCATAGTCCTCAGATTCTTCTTAAACCCATAGAAATTAAGTCTTAATACTGAAAACAAATGTAGAATCCAACATGTTAAAACTCAGTGCATGGGAATAGTAATATGTATTGAACCTTGGGGGTGAATGCCAACAGGAGCAGGGATCTGCTTCTAACTGTGCTGTTTGTTAGCAGTTTGACACAGTCACATTGCTTCTAGTTTTCTGTCATATGAGGAGGAGCTTCAGCATAGGTCCAGAACAGTCACAGAAATGTCCAATAATTGCTGACTTGTGGCAAGCTAGAAGCAATACTTCCAAGTGTTTTTGGTTTCAGAGAACACTGAAAATTCAGGAAAAACTGAGTGAGTTGTTCTCCAGTAATACAGACACACAAACTCTCCGACTGTCTGATCAAATAATGTACTTCTACCTTTCGGGGAAGAAAGAGAGATATAGTGCATGATATTGACTGTGTTTAATTTTTGGGAGATCTTCTAATGTTACAGTGATGGTTGCCATAAAAGTACAGCTGCTCCCCGAGTTACGAACAAGTTATGGACCAACACTTGGTCCGTAACTTGAAATGTTCGTAACTTGGATCCCATAGAGTTACATGGCGACCGCGCTGTTTGTAAGCGCGGATCGCCGTTCATAACTCGGATCCACATTTACGACCGCTTTGGTCGTAAGTGGAGGTGGTCGTAACTCGGGGAGTGGCTGTATTGTGACAGGCCATACGGCTGCAGGAAGGTCCTGGAAGATGACTATATTAGCCCTAGAATGTTAAAGGCCCTTTTTCATATCAGCTGAGAAGGGGTTACCTCAGGTCAATACCTGAATTCAATTAAGGGCTGCTTGTGGCCTTCAAAAACCACTCCTCTCAAGGTGGAGAGATAAAAAGACAAGCTGCTAACAGGCTCGTGGAAGCAGGGAAATAAGTTGCTCCAGGGTGAGAGGTTGTAGGGGAGACAACTACACTAGAGTGCCTGCTAAGGGAACGACTGATACCCCATGGCAGCCAAGAGGACGATACCTTGCCCCAGCAATGGGGCGAAGTGAAAGTTCTTCTTTGAGTGATGTCCCGAAGGTGCTCCACTGTAGGTGCGGGTCTCCCGGAGTCGCAGATCGGAGCCTTGCAAAACAGTTTCTCCCATTGAGCTGAGTATGCGCAGGAGGCTCCTTGTGTCTCTCCCACCCGAGTGTGTAACTTGCAGGGCTCAACCCCTCCATTTCAGTTCCTCTTTAACCACCCTCGTCAGCGGACGGAGCTTCAACATCTCCCTCTCAGCCTATTACCTCATGTAGTGCTTCACACTACATTACACTTAGACAGTTATCTTTATTACTTTTATAATAGTTAGCTCAATAGTTCATTAAGAGTTTCTCTCATTTAATTTACCAAAAAGGAAAAAAAAAAAAGAGGGAGAGAAGAGTTTCTTCCTTCCGGGGATCTGAATGCGGCTTTGCTGCTCAGGGGCAGCACGTTTCGGATTTCTACCGGCTCTTCCCTGTTCTCGAAAGAAAGAAGGAAAACAAACTAAAACGAAAGGAAATAAATAAGTATCACAGATAATTTAATGTGTGGGGCTCCTCGAGCTTCAAAAAATACAAGGAGTGTAAAGCCTATGCCAGTATCCGATAGCCACTCACTATGCATATGGTGCTTGGGGGAAACCCATGTACCACAGAAATCATAGAATACTAGGACTGGAAGGGACCTTGAGGTCATCAAGTCCAGTCCCCTGCCCTCATGGCAGGACCAAATGCTGTCTAGACCATCCCTGATAGGCATTTAGCTAACCTACTCTTAAATATCTCCACAGACGGAGATTCCACAACCTCCCTGGGCAATTTATTCCAGTGTTTGACTACCCTGAGAGGAACTTTTTCCTAATGTCCAACCTAAACCTCCCTTGCTGCAGTTTAAGCCCATTGCTTCTTGTTCTATCCCCAGAGGCCAAGATGAACAAGTTTTCTCCCTCCTCCTTATGACACCCTTTCTCCCTTGCTGCAGTTTAAGCCCATTGCTTCTATCCTCAGAGGCCAAGATGAACAAGTTTTCTCCCTCCTCCTTATGGCACCCTTTTAGATACATGAAAACTGCTATCATGTCCCCCCTCAATCTTCTCTTTTCTAAACTAAACAAACTCAGTTTTTTCAGCTTTCCTTCATATGTCATGTTCTCTAGACCTTTAATCATTCTTGTTGCTCTTCTCTGGACCCTCTCCAATTTCTCCATATCTTTCTTGAAATGCGGTGCCCAGAACTGGACACAATACTCCAACTGAGGCCTAACTAGTGCAGAGTAGAGTGGAAGAATGACTTCTCGTGTCTTGTTCACAACACACCT